GGGCTGCATCAAAAGGAGCATGACCAGCAGGTCAAAGGAGGTGATCCTGCCCCTCTACTCTGCTCTTGTGAGACCTCACCTGGAGTATTGTGTGCAGTTCTGGTGTCCTCAACATAAAAAGGACATGGAACTGTTGAAACAAGTCCAGAGGAGGGCCACGAGGATGATCAGGGGACTGGAGCACCTCCTGTGTGAAGACAGGCTGAGAAAGTTGGAGCTGTTCAGCCTGGAGAAGAGAAGGCTGCGTGGAGACCTCATAGCAGCCTTCCAGTATCTGAAGGGGGCCTATAGGGATGCTGGGGAGGGACTCTTCATTAGGGACTGTAGTGATAGGACAAGGGGTAACGGGTTAAAACTTAAACAGGAGAAGTTTAGATTGGATATAAGGAAGAAGTTCTTTAATGTGAGGGTGGTGAGGCACTGGAATGGGTTGCCCAGGGAGGTTGTGAATGCTCCATCCCTAGCGGTATTCCAGGCCAGGCTGGACAGAGCCTTGGATGACATAGTTTAGTGGGAGGCACTCCTGCCCATGGCAGGGGGGTTGAAACCAGATGATCTTAAGGTCCCTTCCAACCCTAACTATTAAATGATTCTATGATTCTATGTTTCTAAGATCATCTCCTTGCTGACTACTGCTCACTAGGCTTCTTTCCTCTTCAATCAAAACTTTAAGATACTGCTATTTATCCATACAAGCATTGGCACGTATAAGACACACTCTGTACTGATTCAACTCACTAATCTGGCAGAAAAATTAGTACAGCATGCAAAAGTGGTTTGGTTTATGCTGAGATAATAAGTTGAACTCACCCCAGCTTGGTTTGCACAGGTGATATGGAAATCTTTTTCTACAATGAGGTGAAGCTAATTCTTATCTCCAATTTTAGCTCATCTGCATGATTCTCTTCTAAATTTCTTTTTGGTACAGGTGGGTAATCTACAAAATGGACCTCTTGCCTTTTGCTTCCTGTGCTTGGAATTGTTTTTTTTATCACTGTGAATGGAGCCAGGACTGAACATTTTCTTCTCAGCACCATGTGGAAAGTCCTGGGAAGGGCAAAACTGTGGTTAAATGAAGAAATCAGTCTCTTATTCATCTGAAAGAAAGGGACTGACTGTTAGGCTGGGCACCAACGGGTTATGTTTTTCCTGAGATTTGTATCTCCCAGAGCTGCTTAGTGAAGTTTTTCTTTCAGCAATGATTTGTCAGTGCACAGTGTTTTAAATATACTTCCTACATGAGTACTGGTCTGGTCAAGTGGTGCAGAGAAAAGCCTTCCCTGTAGGGCAGATCCTCTGCTCCGTCTTCTGGACTGCCCCAGTCTTTTAGTCGCTGCAGAAGGGTCAGGACTTGGCTTGCTCAAGAAGGACCCAAGTAGGGAAACAGCTCTGTTGGTGTAGCGCTACAATGGCTTCTCACAGCAGTGTCTTGAGAGCATGGCAAAAGGGGCTTGATGCTAGTAGGACCCCTGACTGTGGAAATGTTTCTGATAGTGGTTGCTTTCTCTTTGATCAGACCTCAGCAGTTCTTCTCTGCTACCAACTCTTTTTCTGCCTTCTTCCCAAAGCTCCTCTGAAAACCTTCTCAGAGTTATATACCCCTTTTCCCATGTTTAGCCTCTATCTCTCTGCAGAGATGCCTGGTGCAAACTGCTTCTTTTGGACTGCAGCCTGTGAACCCACCTACAATCTGATGCAAGTGCAATCATTAAAGGCTAATGGTGCTCCATTGTCTTGAATTATTTCTATATTGCACGATGTAGTGGAGAGCTATCAAACTAACCGTAAATGAATTTAGTCAGCACAGTAAGCAGTTTAGCTAAGCTACCATGGGGCTATTAAAAGGCTAATTTACCCCCTCTAGAAGAAGATCAGAAGAGACATATCTTAATCTGGTGGATGTAATTAAGATGTTCACGCAAAACTCAAGCTGAGCTACATTTTCCAAAAGAAGCCAAAAATTGATCCTGAGTAAATAGAGTAGGAAAAATAATAAAAGTGTGAAGGCTCTTGCTTTGTAATTTAAATTTTATGAATCCTAGTGCTAAAAGGATATTTTGCATCTGTGTTTAATCAGCAGGTGCTACTCTGGGCACACAGATATAATAGAACCATTGGCAGTGAATGTGTCCAATCTGATACTGGAAATAGGAATCTTGCTTTTAGGGGAGAGGACACCTGAAGCAGCTTTACCAAGGAAAGATGTATGTGTTTGAGAAGCACTGAGCTCGACAGGAGTTAGTGCATGATCAGATTGTGGGAGGAGCTGTATGTGATCATGATTGCAAATGCAGACAATCTCTCATTCAACAGCCTGAAGGGTACGTGGGGTGAAGCGTAACTGAATGGTCAGGTGATCCCTGCAGTGAAGGCTTTTATTCCCATTCCATTTTATGAGTATTCAGCATGGTTCCTCCATCTATCATAGTCTGCATTAGATATGGAGGGACGAAATCACCCTCATCATTTCTCCTCTCAGTTTGAGAACTGTTTGTGCTTTGTTTAATTAAAACATGGTGTGGTTGTTTTCAGGAGTCACTAATACCAGGATTAATCTGAAGCTAGTGTACAAAGAGCGCATTCTGGCACCTCTGACAATAGGCTTGCTGTGACTTTGATCTCAAATGTGACATCCAGGCTGGTGGACAACATTGTAGAACTGCACAACCATTGTCCTCTCATCAGAGAAAGCAAAGCTGAAGCACTGAGCATTTTATGGATCAACTTCCAGTGAGCATTCATGGATTTTTAGGGAAAGCTTGTGGAAGACCAGAAGGGTAGGGATGGAGAGAACTACAAAGCAGAAGACTGACTCACTGCTGCCAAAGAAGCTGAAGAACAGAAATACCACAAATACAATTCTTTGCAAGGCAGCTTGGCATCATGGGTAGCAGACAACACAACTTTTCCCCATATAAATACAGATGGACAGCATGACGGGACAGCAGTGGATAAGGGACCATAGGTTAATGCTGGTAGAGCCTTTTCTACTCTTGAGCAATGGCAAAGACTATGTTTGGTCATTAAACGTGGAGACGTCACCGCATTCCAAGTACTGAGCGCAATTATGGATGCAGTAGATCTCTTGCTAGGACATGTGCATGGGAAAATGTTTCCCATAGCTGGAGAGATTTCCATGTAAAGTTTCCTTCTCGTTTTATGTGCTGTGCCAAGGAAAACAGCACTGCAGCAAGAGAATCTCACAGCAGAAAGAAGCGAGTCCATGAATGAGTCCACCCTAACACCCATAATGGGCATGAATGCATTCTGGCCCTTTGCATGGGGGAACTTTGGACATAGTTCTGAGCTGAAGCTGGCTGCTGTTGATCCTATCTCAGAATAGAAGATAGAGAAAGCTATAACAACCTTCTTGGCAGTGCTGGAAGAAAGAAGGGAAAGGAAGGGAGGGTGGAAGGACAAAAGGAGGCAAGGAAAGACATAAAGAGACAACCCTTTAAAGAAAAGCTTACATAAATCCCTGTGTTACTGCACCAAGACAGTCAAGTGAGAAAGTTGTGATTAAAGTTCATTACTCTTAGCAAACTATGGCCGTTAATTCTCCCTGGCAGGAATGCCTAAGGTTGCAGCAACATCCAGCCTGTGGCTCTGTGTGCTGGAATGTAACACACAATAGGGTACAAATACTTGCTTCAGAGATGTTAAGAAAGTTGAAGAAGATAAAAGCAGTGCCATGGGAGAAAGAGCAGTTACGTGGGCATAGTGAACAGCAAATCACTGACAAAGATTGCTTCTCTTGGCATCAAAGTTCAGTGGTGCATCCATAGGAGAAAACTCCTCTTCCAAAGATGACACGAGCTCTGCACTATTGTTTCCTAGCTCTTCATCTTTCCTATGTTGCCACATGATTTCTTAGCCATAAACCACTTTATTAGCTTAGTCCTTAAATGCTTCAGGAAGAAAATCATCCTGGCTGAACAAACCTCCCTATACTGAAATGGCAGAAGATCTGCTGAGTCTGGTTTAATCCAAGAAGTCAATAAGCTTTTCCTCGCTGCTCCAAATTGGGATGGTAGTACTTACCTAACAGCCTGAAAAGGGGATTTTCTCACTGAGTTTTCTCTCCCTTTGCTTTCAGGTCCATTCCAGCTGTCTTCCTGGAAAAGGAAAAGAAAATATCCTGCCCTCCACAGATAGCAACTCCTGTCTTTCAGATCCCTTTACTCCCTAGATTACCCTAGCATATGCCTTGTGGTTCAGGGTTTTCAGACCAAATCAGGGATCAGAATCTAAATTTCAATAACAGAGCATCTTCAAAGGGAATGCCTGATCTTTTCCTCTGATATTCACACTTAAGGCCCCTGCTACTCTCAGCTCTAGCTATGGAGGCTGAGACAGAGGAATGCTCTCTCACAGAGTGCACCCTTTAGCCACTCTTGATCAAAGCCTGGATCAAAGCCTGACAGCTGGTATCCATCCAGAAGCAAACAAATAAATGCATAGGTGAAGAAATGAGGATCTGAAATTTGCCCTTGGGTAGCCAACCTTCTATATTAACGCCATGAGTATTCTCAGCTGTTAAGTAAAAGCTGAGAAGATAAATCCCAAATATAAGGAATTAAAATCAATAAACTCACCGAGTCCTCCGTGTCACAGTTCAGACTCATAAAGAGATACAACCACTAAATCCCTACAGTGTTGCTCTTCCACAATTGCACACATTAAGAAAAGGGAGGAAAGAGTTATATGAAACATTTTTCTGGGTATAGGAATCAGTTATCTTAATGATGTAATATCAAAAGGAAATATTGTCTCATTTAGAGATCTACCAGCTACAGTCACTACAATACTCCCCAAAGGATGGTAATTATTCTCACGGATGCCTAGAAATTAAGAATTATACTTTCACTATGTTTAATACCATAGCTGTACTTTCAAGGATCATCTATCTTAGTAAAGCTTTGGGGATCTAATTCAATTGCTTTTTGTCTGTCATTGCTTATTTATAAAACACATATCCTTCTGGCTGTACTGTGTTCCAGTGGATCTCCCAGAAGCTGGAAGAAGAACTGATGAACAAGAAAGATCTGATTCGCTCACTGTGGCTCTGTGACTACATCCTGTCCTCCACTGCCTTGTTCTGCAAAGCAAAGGACATACCTAAAGAAACGCATGTGCCTCGTGCTCATCAAGCCACATGGTAAGACAGAGACATATACACCTTTTGATACTTTAGGCTGATTGTTTTGATAAGATCAACAAGTTGAAATTTTGGCACAGTTAGAAACACCTGCAATGTGTGAGACATTTGTTTAACTGTGTGCAGACAAAGAATAATTTATAATGGATTATATGGAACAACTTTCCCTGAGGCCCCAGAGTAACACCGAAATTGAACAACTATGCAAAGACAGCTGAAATGCAGCCATTCCTCAAGTGAGACATCGTAGCGCTTGGGGCTGTCACATGCATGTGTTTGTGCTAAAGACAAAACATCAGTGTAACATCTAAGGCTGAGAAAAAAAAGACTTATAAAACTTCCCAGCCAAATTTCTGAGGCGTGGTGGCCACCAAGCTCCTTGATATCACCCAGGTTTGTGCTGGGTACATTTACCATTGGGTGAGGTACTTGTGCAGTGTTGATGTGCAGGTGCCAGTAGGGCATGAAAAGCTGACGTGGACACTTTCACTTGGGCTTTACACGCACCCAGTATCTAGTAATAAGTAAGCAGTGCTGGGAGCAAGCCCAAGGACACAGTGCCATGAGAAGAATGCAACATTGGAAGGCAGATCTCAGAAAGTACTGCAAGGAGGCTAAGGGAAGAGGGGATGTTGGTGGTCCCAAGGATGGATAGAATGGGTTGCAGAGGAAGGAGATGCTGGGGAGAGGAGAGGCACTGAACCCACTTCTGCTGCTAAGCTTGTAAGCACATTGTTACTTCTCTGAGCTGTGTTCCAACACAGCAGTTAAAAGTACTAGAAGTATGAAAAATGGACTCAACTTGAAGGTCACAGGTACTCGTGTTGAATTTTATGTCACCTCCTGTATGTTTAAAATTAAATGTATACTTAAGCGCTTTCTGGATGGGAATGTTAAATGATACGAAGCATCAAATATCAAGCTAAGAAGTGCGTGTAGCGTCTCATCAACTTCCTATAGAAACTAACTGGCAGTGCCTTTCAGCCTTGAAAGCTACCTCTCCCCATAGCTTAGAGTGTATTGTTCTTATTAACAGACCACAAGATGGGTTTCTTTTGAAACATCTGATGCCTTGTGAATAATTTTCTTAATCAAAGTGAATAAGCAGGAAGCACATATTTTACCCTTGTTGCTATGATACTGTGACATTGCATTTTTTACTCAGCTGCTTTTGTGGTTTTGTACGGTTCTAGGAAATACATAAAGAAATTATTCTGGAGAAGGGTTTTATATGGTGCTATACGAGTTTGGATTCAGCTGTCTACCAGATGCTGAGTCATAAAGAGAGACAGGGATTTTTCAGAGGTAGTGGATTATGGATAGAGTTTGTGGGATTTAGTAGTTATTCTCATTGAAAACCAGTGATTTAAATCAACAGTGATTCTTGCTTGTCCAAGATCACTGTCGGTTACAATTTGTAGTCAGTGTGGGAGAGCATCTGACCCTGGCACAGCACCAGCACCAGCTGTACAGTTGCTGGTACAGGTCTTAGGGCAAGGGACTGAAAACCCGCTAGTGCATGTAGGGGGAAAAAGATGTGCTGAGAGTCAGTGAGTGAATAAGGGAAAAAACTGGACAATTTTCAAACATTTATTGATTAAATCCTGCCCAGTCTCTTCATGGAGCACAGCTGCCTGCTGTAAAAGTTGAAAGCCAGTGCAGATCAACAGCAGAACCATGCAGGGAGAAGGGCAGCTGTATGGCTTCAACAAATGCAGTGATAAATGCGTATGCCAAAGCACAGACCTCTGGGCGTTCCCAGGTGCTCCCAGGGCTGTGAGCTTGGGCTTTGCCACCGCACTACAGCCATCAGTCCTCAGGGGAGCATCTATTGCAAGGAGGGATGGAGTGTTTCCCTCCACCTCTAATTAGTGTAGGATTCAAGCCGTGTTCCTAGGCTGGCTGGATTTCTCTCTCTCACACACGCATGCATGCACACAAACAAAATGATGATGATGGCAAAACACAAGATGGGAAGTGCAGCTGTCAGGAATTTCTTGGCTCATGGGAGGAAGATGGGGAGCAGCCAAGAGAAGAGGAGGGCAAATCCCTCATAAAGGAAAACAAAGTAGCCAGAAATACAAAAACCCCAGGAGGTCCTTTAAGGCTTGAGAAAGTGGAAAGAAAACACTGTAGAGGGGGAGGAGGAGAAAGAAAAGAGAAAAAAGAGTGAAGCTGGGGAGTTTTTGATGCCACGGGATAACAGACCTGATGGCTGTGTGCTAATTGTCCTTGGTTTATAATAAGCATCAAACTTCAGCCCCAGCTGCATTCAGATGAGCCGAGAACACGTTCCATAGCGCTTGTTAGGGAATGTTGTTTTCCTACTGAAACATTTAGTGATAAATGGGAAATGAGCTAGTGATCTCTATGTCCATCTTCTAACAGAAGCGAGTGGCCACAAACCCAGAAGTTGTGAGATTCCCAACTGAACTGCTCTGCTTTTATTTCTGCTGGAGAGCACCATCCCCTCATACTGATAAATGTGGGATAAGTGTGTGAGGCCACTAGCTGTGGGCAACTGGAGGGATAGGATGGAGAAAATCACTCTGGCTGCTGACTCTCTGCACTTGCAAAGAGAATCATGACTACAAAGTGTTGTAGTGACCTCTAAAATATGTGTCTGACAAAAAGGTTATTTAAAATAAAAGGCACTTACTAGTTATGGAACAAAGCAGCAATTTAAGTTCAGAGAGACCCCGAGGACCACACAAGGTTTCCCTTGCTACACTTCCATTTACAACATGCAGGGAAAAGAAGACTGGAGGAGCTGCAGTCATCATTGCCCTATGGGGTTGCTGAAGCTGCATCACTGAAAGAAGAAAGACACAGAAGAAATCGGGAGTGAAAGAGAAGCAGGAGGATGAAGAAGGTGCTGACTCGGAGGGAGCCCCACAGGTCCTTGGAGTGGGTCTGGATCTACCTGGTCCTTGACTGCAGAGTTGAGCCTGAAGGCAAGTCAGCTGCTGGAGGATGCTGAGAAGTGCCTCAGAGACCCCCAAAGTGGGATCACAGGGGAGAGAGGTCAGTGCTAAGCACATGCTTCTCAAGGTACCTTTCTTTCTCTTTTGTAACTTTTCAATTTAGCAGCTGAGAACCTGATTAACCCTTCACTGTGCTGGAGTACCTTTTGTTTCTCAGCTTGTTTAGGCACATGCTGCCTGAACCCAGATCAGCCCAAGGCTTTCTGCTCCTCTGGAAGCAATGAATGTAAGGCAGTGTGTGCAGGCTGCACACTCTTTAGGTGCCTGCAAACCAGGATGCATTAGGAAATGGCCGTGGCATCGTTATAGCCATTAGGCTACACCAGGACCAATCCATCAGCCTGAAAGAGCCACCCTGGTGATAGTGCCATCAGCCACAGTTCACAGACAGAAATTACAGGCAGATTTATATACTTGTCTATGTTGGGCTAGGGATAAGGTGTTGGAGGATAGTTCAGTATGCCTTTTTATTCACTTAACAGGGACAGCCTCACAGGCTAAAGCAGATGGCCTCGTTACTAGGAAAAAAAACAAGGAGATTTGACATGGGGCTGACTCCAGCCTGGTACTTCAATGTTGGTTTTAAAGAGTAAAATGTGTGTAAATATGTCCTCTACAAGGTGAGCCACTTGTGTCTCTGCCTTTTATGTGGGTATAATTGCAGCTCCCTATCTGTACTGAAATGCACCCTTCTACCTCTCACCTACCCTCTCCTGAGCTCTCAATCCCAGATGCTGAGTTCTTTCAGTACCTGACAGGTACATATGAAATGCAGTGTTAGTTCAAGGACATGCACTAATAAAACAAACATATCACAAAAAGGCACCACCTGGTCAATATGCTTAACATTTAGTCCAACAGATAAGCCCAGAAGGAACTTATGAAACAACAACAGTTGTTGTGTTTACAGAGTAGTTACGCGTTACTGAGCAACTCAGACAAACAGGATCTATCCCTGGTCAGTCCTCCCTTGCTATTATATCACTCCAGGGAAGTGTGTTTTATTCAACTGTCCATAGAGCCTGGCTATTAATAGGGGTCTAAAGTGCACCAAATTGGCCATTGGCAGTTCCATTAAGATGCGTAAGTACATATTACTCATTTTATAGTTTGTGTGTAATCTGAGCCTTCCAAACTCCCCTTGGAAGTCTTAGCTTAGTTATATATTATCACCTTAAGCAAAGGAGATGCAGTTCAGAGGAGTCTTCTTGTTGGACTCCCTGCTGCAAGGTGTTGGGTCTAAAAGTCTATGTGCTTTCAGGACACAAACTACTACAGGATATGAAAGTGTGGTGGAGAAATACTATGGCTGTTGTTGTCGGCAGCCGACTGTGTTACAATTGTCCAACCCAGTCCAGCTTTGCTTTTATTCCATCCTGTGTCATGGTTGTCAGCCCATGGGACAGCTTGTGGCAGCTTTGATTTGTAGTTTTAATAGAGCAATAGGAGAGGACTCCAGGCTAACTTAGACTATTTTGAGGGCTTGCTGACAAGCCTCCACCCTGTGCTAAAATATATAGTCCTATCAGCCATGGTTTCACCCCATCAAGTATTTCTGGTTTAAGAAAGAACCATCAAAAGACAACCTGCCTGGCTGTCTTTTGTTTTGCCCAAGCACACCAGGATTGTCCACACTGCTGCGTGATTGGTCCTAGTCTGGCCGAGCAGTTTCCCAAACAGAGAATCTGGGTAAGCTAATGCTGGCAATATGAAAATCATTTTTCAGAAGCAGACTATGCCTTCAGGAACAGAAAAACATGTTTTTTTTGTAAAGACATAAGTACCTAAAATATATACACTTGGATTATGATGCTCAGGTTGTACATACAACTCTCCTCCCCTCTGGCTATACAAATTCTGAGGACCCTGATCACCTTGGCATGAATTATTGAAAGGAACAGAATGAAAGCTTAAAACCAAGAAAACATGTCTATGAACCAAGATGCTTTTTAAGCATCTCATTGATTCCCTCTTAACCGTATTGCCTGCTGCCTCCTAAACACTGCAAATAGCCCTTAGTTCCATTAGCTCTGTATGTGAATGCTTAAGCTGACCACTAGCATCCTGTCACTAGGAACAAACTTCCTTAAGGGGAATTATTACACAATCGTGGAAGTTTTGTACTTTTTCTGAGGCATCCAGTGCTGGCCACTCAGTTCAGACATGCTTCTGGTTGATAAGGACTATTGGCATGGCAATGTGGAAAAGGATCTTCTTTACAGCTGTCTTGAACAGGAAAGTAGTAGTAGTATTAAGTAGAATTAGTACAGAAACAAAGCCAGAGGTTCCTCTTTTTGTCTTGAAGGAGCTGCAATTTAATTTCAACTGGGATGTATCATGGGAGGGTAATAAAGAAATCTGAGAGAGCAATAAGAGCTGAACAAGGCTGGAGTTAAAAGGCAGCAGACAAGTTATCTTTCCTATTTTCTGGTGTAACATGTCAAAGAACCTACTTCATGTTTCATAGCAATATTATGATCAATATTACTGATACTATAATCATATATACGATGTGTGGCATCCACAGAAAGAAAAGCATTTTCCTGTAGCAGTAGTATGTTGACCAGGCTGGAAAACTTATGGAAACCATAAAACATTTGGTGTCTTTTTGATCACATTAGCTTCTAGTATGAAAATAGGTCATGGCTCTGCTGCACAAAGTGCTGTGCAAACATACCACAACAGATCTTCAGCCAAGTTGTCATGGAGCCATCGTTTTCATTGGAAAATCAATTTAATGCCTCTCTGCCAGCTCTGTGATATTTTTTTGCCTGGGACAGACTTCTCAAACAACCTGAAGGAACGGTTTAGTGGGATGTGGGGAGAGGTGATGTGCTACAGATGATGACTCATGCTCATTTTTTACCTTGTCAAAACCAAGCCATACAGTTCACATCGTTAGGAAATGTTATTTCTCCTTGGGTTTTCAGGGAGCTGAGAGACTTTAGGGATGTTTGTGGGAGGATGATGATATGGTGGGTGATGACGGTGGTTTTGCTGTAAGAAAAGAACAAGGTTGTGTGTGTGCAAATGAGATTGGCATCTCAAATTATTCTAGGCTCATTGACTAGCAGTGGTGTTAATATTGACCACTCTTAGCATTGGGAAAAGGAGAGGGAAGCCAAATGTTTTTTAAAGAAAAAGAATTGGAGAGATAAACTAGCTGCATGCAGTTGAGCTCTTCGAATGGCATCTCCTGTCACATAAAGTATCACAAAGCTTTCATGGATGTTGAAAGATTTATGAAAGGGAGTGACATGGAAACAGAGGAGAAAGTTGCAGATCATGAAGTCTTGCTTGATTATTGGGGAACATAGTCACATCTCTTGCTTTCCCAAAGTACTTAATGGACCACAGTGAAAAACGACATACTACTATTATTTTTCTGTTGGAATCTGGTCTCTGTCGATTAAGTGTGTAAAGAAAATCTGCAAGGATCCTGGTAACACTGGGCAGTATTCAGACTTGCAATTGAAGCAATATATTTACAAAAGAGGAGGGGTGAAGTATCAGTCAAGAATTCCTCCTCCCTGATTTTAAATTACATTTCTGTGTACCGTATTCTCCTGTGTACAAGTAATGCAGAAAATAATGCAGCCTTCTTTTCTCTTGAACAGAAGCAAAACAGCACAAAGAGAATCCAGACCCTGATCTGTAGAAGAAATAAAAGACTGCAACTACAAATTCAGTAAAATTCGGAATTATGCAGATCTGAATTTATGCCATTTCACTTACTCCAATATTCCATTGTGTTCTGTTCTGTTCTATTTTCAAAATAATATTTTAGGTTCAGTGTGTGAAAAGTATATTGATTCTGAACCAAAATGCTGAGACAAGTTGTCAATTGATTTCATTAGTCCACTTTAAAAATGTAAGCTCAATGTTCTTGGTTATTTACATTACCCCAAAGGAAGTGTAAAAGGATTGCTTGAGGGTTTCCCTTTGACTAACGCTAAGGCCTCAATTTATCTTGGAGTATAGATCAGCTTGAAAATATTGTCTTCAATAGAGAAGAGTTACCAATGGATCATTTTGTCAGGCAATACGTGGGAAATGCTCAGCAGAGGGGGGAGCAGGAGAGAAAGACCAAGAAGAGGATCCTGATGAAAGGGAACTCCATGAAAAAGTGTAACAGGTCAATTTTGATAAGGAATCTGACCTCAAAGGTCCTCACATTGGGATAAACAAAAGTCCGAGACAGTTTTAATCTGTTATTTCAGACTACTGATATGCTGTCTCCTCAGCTACTGGCAGATTCCCAGTGTACTGAGACATAGGTCATCCTCTGTTACCAAGCTGTTAAGGGAGCAGAAATCTGCATGTGGAACTTCTCTTTTGGTTAGCTATACCCACAAAATAACACTGTGCTTCAGGAGGAGCAGCTTTTTTCTGCCCATCCCTGATCCAGGTTGACTTACCAGGTGAGGGGCAGATCTGACTCACAAAATTTACAAGCAGAAACTTGAGAAGACAGGGCAGATATTTCCTCTCCTGAGGCAGAAAAAGCCCTCTGAGTCTTACAACCCAGGGTAGTCCAGAAGACAGCAAATATGAAAAAGCTTTGTGGAGCTCTTCACTGAGTAGATGTGGAGACCTACAAATAATAGGTGGGTAAATGGGGAGACCATGGTGTACCCCTGAAATCTGGGTCAGAAGCCACATCCACATGAAGACCACAAAGACAAAGCTTCATTCTTGCTTGCTTCTCCATTTCTACAGATTGAGCTGACCCCCACCTAGCCAGAGTGCTCTGCATTGTGAAAGAAGCAGAACTTTTTGGTGTTGAAGATACTCTAAGAGGCATTAGAAAGAAAAAAGAAATAGATGCCAGGGGTTTAATACAGAAAAGGCTTCAGCACAGCAGCAGGCTTCATGAGTCATTATGTTCTTGGTAGACAGACCTTCAAACTCAGCTTTGGTTTAATTGATGTAATTGATATAATAGTAGTCTTCAGCTTGTTAATGTAGAAGGCTCAGGTATCTGGCAGTCAGGTCCGTATGCCATACATAGATATGCCTTATCTTTGCACAGTGCTTGTTAGTGTAACGCTCAGGAATGGACTGATATGTGAATAATTTCAGCAGGGCAGGGTTATTTAGATTTACTCATCCCCAAACTCGCATTACTTTTAAAAGCCACAATTCAAATTCATAGGAAACCTAGCAGACTGCACATAGGAAAGGCTGCCTCACAGTGATCTGCAGTTTTAAAGAAATTAACCCACTGGGAAGGTCTAACTTTATAATTTCTCTCCCTCCAGGTCAGTGAAGCACGAAAAAGATCCATTCCCTCTCTCAAACCCAACCCATTTACTTATGTGAAAGCTAACTTGGAGAAAGGCAGCAAGTAATAGTGTCGCAGACCTAGAAGCTGAAAGTTGTGGTCTTATCTTGGTGCCCACATTAATAATCTAATCTCTTCCAAGAATTTCATATATCAGCCAATGCTCATCACAGTTAACTTTATACAGCCATGGGGACTTATAATGGGTCCATAAATACTCTTCCTAAGTCATTGTTAAGACTGTTATTAGTTAGGAAATGATTTGGCTTTTCTGTTTCAGGCCTCAGCTACTAAGCTCATGTAATTTTTGGTTGCCTTTGTAGAGAAAAAGATGTGTAATCATCATCAGCAACAGACTTACTGAATGAGAGTTCCTTTTCTCCAGCGTAGTTTCCATTTTGCCACAAAAAGCATTTCTTGTTTTGCATAAATGTTTGAGTGGAAGTGTTGTCATTATTCTGGAAGAGATACTGATATTATTACCTTTTTAATGAGAAGGAAAATCAGATAAAGAAGAGGTTAAATGGTTTGTTTTGCTTTCTGTTAGAGTAGCAATGGGAGGTGTATGCTGGCAGATGTGACCTTGGAGGCCAGTCCTCTGGTTTCTGGGCACCCTGGAACCCTAAAGCAGCAGAGGAATAGGAGATGAGAGAACAAGTTGTCCTTTACACAGCTTTGGACTGTTTTGGGTCACAGGCTCCCGCATGCCTACAATGTGCTGTGTACACTAAACTATGCTTAAATGTCCCCAGGTCTCAGATTGCAGGGTAATGTAGCTTTGTAGCGCCTCCATTTCTTCTGTATGAGTTATGATCCCACGCCCCAAAAATGCCATGGAATTGAATTCACTTACAGTGGGAGGAGATGTGAAGTTGTAGAAGTAGTCACCTATGTACATCCCAATGAAAGACGTCTACAAGATACACTAAGAGAATACACAAGCCTGTGCCCAGAGACAATAAAAGGCCATGTTGCTGCAGTTATTGTTATTAGCTAATAGAATTTATTTTAATTAGGAATTTTTTTTTTGTCTAAATTCCTCAAGGAGTACTTTTGGACCGTCTCTGTTCCTATGTAGGTGTTTCTATCAGATCAGGGCATGGATAGAGGATTGCTGTTTGATAATCCACACACATGAAGAGATCAGAAGCTTGGAGAGTGGTGAAGAAGCAATAAGAAGTGAAGGTAAACACTTTACTGCCTTTTGAAGTGAAAAGTTGCTGAAGACAATGCAAATCTTTATGTTGTATAAGGTGAGGACTTTATTAAAGAGCAGATCATCACCATTATACTTAAATTCAAAATGTGGCAGTGCTTAAGTGTTTTCAGCTCCCATTAGCTGAATACATGATGAGATGTCACTATTTAAAGTGACTTGAAAGATGCTTTTGAGCTATTTGAGACTGACAACTTTACCACTGTCTCCTTCTGACATGGGCATGGTTATGGGGCTTCATAGTCTGCATTATTTAGAGATTTGTCTAATATCCTCATGTTTAGTTTAAATTGTCCAGGAAGAAGACTGAAGTAGAGGATATGGAGGCATGCCCACTGTACCTGATCCTGGATGGAAGCCTGACTTACCATCATTCCAAGTTGGCATTGGTTTCATTGTATTTTCAATATATAACAAAGGTACGTTTGATTTTTTGTATTTTTAATGGTTTTTGTTGTCGTGTTTTTGTTTTGTTTTAATTTTGGTTTTTTTTTGCCTTTATTTGTTACAGATCTAATTCTATTTGTGTGAGGGAAAGTTTTATGGTGCACACATGTCATATTACCATCTATATAAGAACAGTCTGGTCGGAGTCCAGACTGTTAAGTAGGATTGTCCAGCTGTTGTGAGCAAAAGGTAGAAACTGAGGAAAGAAACAGGTACAGCCACAGGTGCCTGCACTGCTTCAGTCTCTTCCAAATACAAGGATCAAAAAAAATTTTTCACATTTACTGTGATTTGATATAGGCTGAATTCACTTAGATACCCATCAGGCTGTAGCAGCTTTTCATCTCCACTGCAACAGGAAACTTCCATTTGATTTCCAAGAGACTTGAGTTTGGCTTTCTACTAAATTAAGTTATTTGAGTATTAGGGCCTCTGAAAACTGTTACTGAACTCTTCCATCCTCTCCCATCCAATTTCATGCTTCTAATTTCAGTGCTTCTGATGAAAGGGACGTTTACTAGCAGGCATCTAACTTGAACCTGATCTGGCAGGTTGCTGAGAAATGTAAGTTGCAAAACATTTGATATGAATGAAGTTCTCTCCATCAAAAAAGTCTGATGTCAAAAGTGAGGGCAAGTGTCTACTTTTGTTCTTCTTAAATACTGGATCTTAGACATTAATCATTGAACTGGAAATCCAATTACATGATTAATAATCAGATGCATTTTTTTTAACGTGGGGAGAAAAAGGCCAAGTGAAACATGAAAGTCCACTGGGAAGCACTACCAGTTAAAGCAATTAAAAGAGGCTATGGAATTCTTAATTCTTACACTTGGCTAGAAATATGATTGACTGGGCTTGACTCTCCTGGGAGTGGGTGTGCTGGGCAGTCTTTTATTTGCTTCTTAACATCAAATGCTTCTGTTTCCTTTATGAGGCATAATTAATTTTCTTTGCAAGAAACTTTACTTATTATGATATGGGTAGCTGATCAAGTTTAAAATGTTTGATCAGATTAAGCGATGCCTGTCATTTAACGTTCCCACTCACGGAGAGAAGCACATATTCCTTCCACTCTCATAACATTCTGCAGACAGACTTTCTGACAGCTGAAGTGTAGCCAGTAAATTTATTTTCCATTAGTTGCAAATTGTACAATAATATACGAAAGTAATTGCACCATAGATCTTCTTGCCATGAAGTTAGGCTCTGCAGTACACACTCATAAAATAGTGGAGCAGCAAATAAAATCACTGCATCTGTATATATTAGCCTTGCCGTAACTTTTCTGAAGGTAGTCTAAAACATTGACAAAAGTAAATTGGGAGGAACTGGGAGGAATTCAATGTTTAGCGGATTTTATAAGAGGGGCTATAGTCCATTAATAATTAGGGCTACCTTGTAGCTGCTTATGGGTCAAAGCAAAGGGATTATTGCCAACAATCTCAACATTGTGAACTAGAGTATAATATTCCCTGGATCAGCCAGGATGCCTTGAGTCTTAGTTGAAGATCTGAGTCCAAAGCAGACTGTGTTGAAGCACTCAAGGAATCTATCCAATCTAGGCAGAAAACCTCCAGGCTAAATTTAACCATTTAATGGCTCTAAAATGCTTTGAAAGTCAGGGAAACACAAATTGGAATATCTGAACTAAAAGAAGTAGCTTCCAATATGTCTATTTTAATTAGGTTCCTAGAAAAGAATAGGCAGGCACTGCACCTAAACCATTTCCTTTATGTGAACTCATCGTTTAGCAATCACCACTGTATTGAAAACTGTGGCAATAGAATTATAGTTTTCCAAAGCCAGGGTCTGCCCTGGAGACAAAGCTGCCCATTTTTCTCCTGATATTCTCTGAATTGTGCAATAGGAAAGTTCCTTCCTTTTTGGGGAAGGGATGGTAACAGTGATCCCATCCCACTTTTTTTTTTTTTTTTTTCCCCTTTAAGCCAAATACTGTAAAATACTGTAAAGGTTTTTATTTCCAGAGAGGTCAGGGGCTGATGCAGTCTGCCTTCAAACCATGATAGGTGTTTGTACCCGAACAGCAGTGGAATTTTCACAGGACAAAGAGCATGTGCTTAAAACTTACGTATTGACCCCAAGGAATGTGGATGTGCATGTTGACTGTACAGCACCTGCTCTGCCTTCCTTCTTCTCCAGGTGGGCTACCAGGTCCTAAGGAAGTCTTATACTAGTGAAGAGCTCTGGATCCAGCTCTTACATTGTCCAGCTGGATGCCTCTACTTAAGAACTGCAGGCTGGATTTGTAGGAGCCCACGTCAAATATAATTTAGTACATTGTGCATAGCTCAGCAGTCAGAATGTGTGAACTTTGCTCTTTCCCAAGAGCGACATCAAGTGTTATCATTCGGGCTTCCAACCTAAAGGGCAGCATTTATAGAGGTTATTTCCAGGACCATTCATGTCTTGTGGTTTGGTGGCACACATGGAGAGGTGGATTCATGGTAGTGACCAGATTGTTATAGAAAACAGTGCAGAGGTATGCCAAGTAAAACTTATGCTGGAGAAGCCAACATTGTGCCTTCTGCTTCTGCATAACACTGCAGCCACAGACCTCTGCCAGAGGTCAGACACAGCAGCAAGAACACAAATAACCCCCAGTGTGGGAGCATTTCAGGTGTATAGGCTTTGTTTTTCTGTGAATTGCCCTCATGTAAGCAGCGTCTTTGGCTGGGTCTTGAGCAACAGTACCATGAAACAATCATGTGACTTTGATTCATCTGGGAACCAGGCGTATACAGGAGCACTGGAAAGATATTTTCCCTTCACATCAAGGCCCAGGAAGCACATTTGATTATATTCACTATATTTGGTGTGATTTGCTGTTCTCAGATATTCAGCTGCAATTAGGTGGTTAGAGACTAATCTTCCCTCTGTGCTGCCTATCAATCTGTTTCCTCACATAGCTTCTGGCATTATTCTGAACATTTTGATTAGGAAATATCCCTGCCTTGGAGCTGCTGCTTGTGGCAAGATTTCTGTGTGCATCTCCTGTCAATATCTAAATTTCTTCTATTCAAGGTTCTTTAGAGCACTTGTCTTTCAAATGACGATTACAACATCTCTTGTCTGATTCAGAGTTCTCTCAAAACCCTCCTGAGTTGGTGACCTTGCATTAGATCTCCAAGAAGTTGCTTGTTCCTTGATACCTAATCATATTCCTTGATTGACTTTCTGTTTTTGTTTTCTCCCATTGGGTTTTCTTAGGATGTTCAGATTCACCTAGGTTATCTCCTTCAGCTTTCCTCCTTCCTGAAAAGGCTTGAATTGTTGCTGCCCTTGCTATATTTAGAATGCTTTCAACTGGATTCTGCACTCATTTACCTTCATGCTTTTCAGTTCACACTTTCATAAATAATAATAAAAGGAAAACAGGACATTTGTGATGGGGTAAGAATTTATTAGAAAAGTCACTCTGGGAATGGCAGTGGGGAAGCTCTGCTCTTGAGGGAGCACTCTTCCAGGTCATAGAATCGTAGTATCATGGAATGGTTTTGGTTGGAAGGGATCTTAAAGATCATCTAGTTCAGGTGGACCTAAAGGTCCACTAGACCAGGTCAGGACCCTTAAGGGATACTCTCATTCTCAGTGCTTTTAACTGATGAAAGAGGTCAGAAGTGGATGGGCTCCTCCTTTCCCGCATCTTTTTTCTGGAATCTTTAATGTTGTTTAGCCTTGGTCTGATATGTACACGTGGTTCAGTGGTGATATCTCCTACCAGAGAAGAAGACCTGAGTACGACACATGTAAAGCTGATTTTTATCCATGTAGAGTTCAGCCACCCTAAAGAAATCACCATCTACATGTTTATGGGGAATGTTTTGCATATATTTCATCACCCTGTTACATTCTATATCCCAGATGACGTTCCCTTTGAAATCCCCAGGATGCTTTCAGGTAGCTATGAACTTCAGGATTATTTTCAAGTATTAGTAAGAATAGATTCATCCAAGATAGGAACTATAACTTAATCTTTATGCTATACCATGCTGAAGATCACCATGAAAGATAATGGGGAAGTGATGGACAGAATCCAGGCAGTTCATTTATTTCTGCCCATGCACAAATCACAAACAAATCTCAGTCTTAAGCAGTTTTTCATTAAAATCCCATTCTCCCTCTCTAGAGTCAGCATATAGTTTGCCTGGTAATAGAGCTGTCCGGTCACTGGAAATGCTAATGTCACTCCTCCATTTTAGCTCTTCCGAGATTAAAAGGCTTCCCTAAAAGAAAAAAAAACCCAAGCCAGAGTATTGGTTATGCTGGAAAATGTGATGTGAATGGAGGCATAAAGAGATCGGGCTTGACAGCCCTAGTATTTTTGGAATCTGTAGATCAATTTCTCAGTTATACCCTCCTGCAGATGAAAAAGCATTGAATGAAGCTGTAAAGCTGGGCATTTTGAGGAGTTTAACATAAACGGACATTGTCTGCTTTGAAGTATTCCTTCCATGGGAATATTTCTAGTACAACTCTTAAGCTTCCATGAAGTATTTGTGTCTCTGTTTAAACAATTGTGGGTTGTGCTTTATCATGTTCGTATCACAGATAAAAGAGAGGTGGGAAACTGAGCTGAGTTTTAAATAGTTTTCCTCTACTTTGATGAGACATTGTATGAGATTGATTCTAATGTTCCTCTATATATTAAAGTTGTCAAATATCCATTTTAATAGCTCAATCACCTGCACAAAATCCTGCCCCATCTTTTAACCAACGGACTAAATGTTGTGGACATATACAGGATGGAAAATGTGTCAGATAAGCAAATATATATGGATTTCTTATCATAAGCATTTACAGTTACTTTAGCAATAGACAGAGATGTTACAAATGTTATAACTATACTATTGAAATTAAACCGTAGGAAGGGGACAACACAACACTAGCTATTAATCTTTGTATATGCAAAACTGTCATGAGAAGAAGAGCTTTAGGAAACGACTGGAGACTTCTTACTGTCTGAAGTCTCTGTTTTTGCCTTACTTTCCACTGCTGACTACAGAGAAGCAAATCCAAATCATTCACTTCATATCTTGCCTTGCTTTTATTTGCATTTGGCATCAGGATGCAGCTGCACTGACTCTTCCTGAGTAAGACTAGGACATATTCATCATTCCATGTTTAAATAATCCTTGTGTTTTCAGTGTCTTGTAGTACACATCCTATTAGACCATTAAATTATCATCTTTGTTGGGTTTCTGTGAAAGTCTTCGTTTTTCCTGTGGCTGATGAAATTAACAATAATGATGTACTTCTTACCAGAAGCATCTATAATTTAAACTCCCACACTTCCCCGAGCTTTCAGTACTGTTAAAAGTCAAATTAACGCTTTTATCACTTCAGTTCATGAAGACTGACAATAGTGTTTAAATGGAGTCCGAAGGGGACCTCCAGATGCGTGTCATTTGGGTTAAAACCTGGACTGCTTTGTCAGAAGTTCAGTTTTCGCCTAGAGTTCAGGCTTTATGGCAATCTAGGTCAATTCTATGCAATTAGGAAAGTTCAGATGAAGGTTTTTCTATTGGCTCCTAGGGAAAAGTGCTTATTAAGCAAGAAAGCTCAGAAGTTTTGCTTTATGAAATGATGTTTTCTCTGTCTTGCCCTCTTTCTGGAAGCTGCAGAGGTATTAAGCACGAGACTCAATTTGTTTTCCAGTTCCATGGTGGAATTCACCTAACTGAATGAGTACTAAACAAGTTTAGATTGGCAGACAAAAAAATGACTAAGGTGTCAGCTAAGTAATGCCGGTGGAGACATTATATTTTGTAATATTCAGGTTATGATCAGAGCTGGGAGAACCCATAGGAAAAAGCAGACTACATGGGAAAGGTGGAACTGGCCATTCGTGGCAGAAGTTTTGCACAGATGCACAGTCCCAGTCCCAAACAGTTGCCAGACTTCTCAGAAGCTTTCAGAAAGTTCTTTTCATTGCATTGTTTTCATTCCATTCTTTTCTGTGTTGTTTTACCCTCTTCGTACTTGCTGTCTCCTGGTAGTTCCTACAGGGGCAATACAGGGCAAGGGGTTGAGAGAGTTGAAGTTGGTTCATGCTGCTAGATTGTACAATTAGCAGCATTAAGAGCTAGAACAAACGCATTCTGCCTGTATTGTGCCTTGATCCGAAGGACAGGCTTATCTATTCCTCACATGGGTCAGGGTGTCAGGACATTTCACAGGTGGGGTGGTTGTGGCAAGCACTGAGCATCCACTCAGGAAGCAAGAGGGACATGCTGTTTTCCTAGAAGACACTTCCCCACCATTTTTTATTGGCTTTTGGCAACGACAATCTTACCACTAATAGGAATCCCAGGAAGACACTGAGGAGTCACATTAAAAAAAATAATATTAAAAAATAAAGAGAGAAAAGAAAATATAAAGGGTTGAATCCTGTGGCTGAGAGACAATCAGTTCAGGAGACCCTTTGGCAGGTTTAGCAAACGACTAGCACAGGTAGGACTGGGAATTCATGCTAACATAGATATAAACTTGCATGACTAAAATCTTAAAGCTGCTTGTTTCAGTATAGTTTGTATGGTCTCATTCTGTGTGTGTGCATGTCTTAGACTTCTGAATGTATTAGTCAATTTCAGCTAAATCAGATGAAGGGGCCCAGGACAGTAGGACTTTGGATAATTGAATTCCCATGAGGTTTTTGGAACATAGCAACTACAGATTGTGCCAAAATGAAAACTAAGCACTCTGAGAAATTGTATTTGTTCCTTGGTTGTACATCACTTACAGGATATTCTCAAAAGAAATGAGGAGACCACGGGAAATGCTTTTAAGCTGATACGCCAGAGGCTTAGAGCCACGTTAGCTTTCTGGTATGGGTGAAAGTCACTTTAGAGTGCTTCGATGGTGTAGCAGCACTACTCATGAGATGAATTGAATCTTGAATCCCAGGTTTTTTTTTTTACACTGCCTATGTTCTGCCTTGTAAAATATCATAAACATGGAGTAAAGCAGGTGAGTGATCTCCATCAGAGACATAGTTGTAACATCAGAAACTGAGCACAGATAGAGCAAAACTGACTCTGAAATGTTCAAATGAAATGGAACACAGCCTGAGTGGGGTGAGTCATATCTTCAGTCCTTAAATTGCAGTCAGGGAGTGGTGTTGGTCAGTGAGCTCCAGCCTTTCTGCAGTCATTATTATCTGTATAGCCTGTACATGTAGGAGCTCAGTCATGGGTGTTGATCCCACCAGTATGCACTGTGCAGATACGAAAACTCTCAAACAGATTCCATCTCATGGAGGTAAGTATATTCTGTTGTATTTTTGTTTTCATTGTTCATGTCACCATTTCTTCGTCTTTACTGCCTGAAGGGAGAAAAGGAAAATATTAAATGTCTCATTTTGGGCAAGAGAGAATAATTCAGAGGGATTTTCGCTTCATTACAAGCCTTCAGATTTGGTTCTTTGTTGATAAATAGTATCAGATACCTCAGGATTTGGAGGAAGACATTGAGAGAGGTCAACTGCCTATTGAAAAATTAACTGAGAACTCCTTCTCCAGCATGGGTGGATTTCAGAGGGGCCATGGGGTTGAAAACAAACTGAAGAGTTAAGCTGGGGTTGGCTCATCTGGTCTCCCTGTAGATACGGAGCAAAAATAGGGGAAATCCTGGGGCTGAGCTTTCCACTGACCCTCCCAGAGGGTGAAGCTCCGATCTCTGGGAACTGAAAGCAAACCAGGTGCTGAAATTGCAGCAAACTTGCAAGAATGGCTGCGTGCTGGCAGTTTCACATAGTGTTTAATATCAGTGCCTTCCTTCTGCTGCAGAAAGTGCTTTAGGAAGATTGTGGAGTGTGACTTGACCCTCTAACTGAACTGCAGATTCAGGCTACCTGAGGTACACAGGGGGACTAAGCAGCAGTAAGACTCGAGGGAACAAAGTTTGTCTCTTCCTCCTACTTCATGACACAAGAACTCCTGATTAAAAGAAGTCGTGGTATGCTGAGAAGGGCCTATATTTTTTTTTTGCTAGACCTTCCTCATAATTAACTCAGTTGTCTGCCAAGACCTGGAATGCTGCTGCTGGAAAGGAAGAGGCATTTCTTATGTTCCTCAGTGTAAGAAACCACAAGCAATGACAAACCCAGCCATCAGTCAGTCTTTTATCATTATGCACCATTATAAAAATCATCTCTTCATTTCAATAGTCCAATGGTGCCATTGATTGTACTATTCTCTGTCTGTCGGCGCCAGACTTATGATTCTTTAAACTACATAAAGATTATCTTGGTTTCCTTTTTGCTGCGTAATTTGTTTCTTGCCATTTGCTGCAAGAACATGTTTGAGATTACCTGGTTTTCTACCTTCAAGTATCCTATCAGGCTTACATTCTTACAGGAACTCAAGGCATCCTTTTTTGTGGTGGTGAACAACTGGGGTTCAAATAGCTAAAATGAAACATGAAAATCTCCTCAAAAACGTATCACTTGTCCTTCTCTACTGTAATGCTGGACCCTGCTCTACATCTAAAGAAGATGGGTCCATGTCCCTCTCTGTAGGGAAGGTCCATGTCTTTATAACACAGTGGTAAT